GCTGGGCGCCCCTTAGGGGCTCGGGGCTGGGCCTCCCCGCCAGGATGCTGTCTATGCTGAAGCTTTTGGTCTTGTCGGTGCCTTTCGGGGAGCTGCAGGAGGCGGGACACGGAGAGCATCCCGGACTCTCGGCGGTGCTTCCTGGCTGGCCGATGGCCGCTGCGCGCGCGTCCTCACTCAGGGACCCAGGCGCAGGCTGGGGCAGGGGTGCGGGCAAGGCGCAAACGGGAGGCCCCTCCTCCAGGCCCAGGGTCGCCACGGGGCCCGGGCTGGCGCCCCCATCCACCGCCTCGGGCTGCGTCTCCGCGCGGGGCCTCTTGGCGTCAGGCGCGCCCGGGCCCGGCTTGGGCTTTCTCTTACGGCGCCGGTAGTTGCCGTTCTCGAACATGTCCAGGCAGCGAGGGTCCAGGGTCCAGTAGCTGCCCTTGCCCGGCCGCCCTTTCTCGCGCGGCACCTTGACGAAGCAGTCGTTGAGCGAGAGGTTGTGGCGGATGCTGTTCTGCCAGCCCTGCCGGTTGTCGTGGTAGAAGGGGAAGCGCTCCATGATGAACTGGTAGATGCCGTTCAAGGTGATCTTCTTCTCGGCCGCGTTCTGGATGGCCATGGCGATGAGCGCGATGTAGCTGTAGGGCGGCTTCTGCGGGGGCTCGGACCGGCCCGAGGCGGCCAGCGCGGCGACGGGGGCGAAGGCCAGTGGTAGCCGCGGCGGCTCGGGCCCGTACAGGTAGAGCAGGGGCGAGGCGGCCAGGCCGGGCGGCCGCGGGCAGAAGAGGTGGCTCATGGCGCTGCGCTCACGGCGGCTCAGGGCCCGCTCGCCGCGCCACCAGAGCCCTCGGGGGGAGCCGGCTGCGCCGCTGCCTCCCGCTCCGCCGCCTGGCTCCCCGGCCGCCGCCGCGCAGCGTTCTGGCCCGGCTTCATGGCCTTACCAATGTTAAATAATTGTTGTAAGTTTGCTATTATATGTTGACTTAGCGCTGGAAAATAAATTGTCTATGATAAACAGCCGCTGTGTTCTCAGCCCACCCACATTAATTAAAATTTCATTGCTGAAAAACTCCAAGCGTCTCCTTCCACGTGTCTTTTTTTGATACCAACCAATGGGTTTCAGGGCTAGTCCTTCATTTGTTTATAGAATTAGTCTGTTGATAAGTTCGCCCACCCAAGTTGAATCAAGCTGTGTTTATTTGGAAAAATTTCCGGGCACCCAATATATAAACGCACTGATCTGATGTTTGAAATATCACGTCCACCCCTCGACGCTGTAAGCACACAAGAGGCAGAAGGCGGATGTGGAACTAGGTGCCTCCCAGCGCTGCCTCAGAGCTGCCAGCGGAGGGGCAGAGAGGGGAGGGGACTGGGGAGCGGAGCCCTCCTGTTGGCCTGTGGAGCCCCCAGAGTGGGCGGAAGGACGTTGCTTCTCCCGACTCAGTAAGAGATGTGGGCATGTCACTGGGTGCTACAATGCACTCTGAAGGCCAGGGTAGATTTTCACATCTTAGAAAGTGGGGGTTGGGGGGTGAGGAGGGTCACAGGGTGGGGTGTCTATTGAGGAAGGGGCCACAGTCCTCCCAAACAAGGTGGCATTGGGTATGTACAAGAAGATATGGGGGGGGGGGTTCCCCCAGGGCTCCTCAGATAGCTGCAGAAGGGCACTAGTTTAATCTCCCCCAGGCCCCTGCTGACCTAGCCAGGGGCGGGGTGCCTTGTCCACAACTGGGCTGGAAGGGGAGTTTTGGAAAGGAACCCCTTTGGAGAGTTGGGGTGGGGGTAGACGGAGCCCTTTCTGGCCCGTGAAGGTTGTGAGGAATTGAGTGAGCTAGGAAGACCATAAAAGGGGAATCTGGCAGCAGGAGACCTGGTATTTGTGAATGCCGGTCTGTTGCTTTCTGCTCTCCTTTCCTGTTTATAACATGGAAGGTCACAACAACGGCAAGTGCACGCAGCTGGCCCGTGATTACAGTATGCCTGGACGCCTGCGCCAGTACTTCAACCCGCCCGCGCCCCTCAACCACCACCACCAGGGCCCAGGGCTGTGGGAAGACCCTCTGTCGCCTCTCCCTTTGCACTTAGCCCCTTTAGGGTCTGAATTTACAGTTTTAAAAACCTGGTGTTGGTTGAGAAGGGCCGGTGACTCCCCACCGCCACCTCTTTAGGGGGTGTGTGCGCTTAGCGTGACTGTCTGGTTATGGCTGGCTGGCTGGCGACTGTTTTAAAGAGGCACACAAAACCCAACCCTTGCAGGGTAGCTGGATTAGTGCGGCCCCTGGCCATGGCAAGGGGCTGGTCAAAGTGGAGGGGTAGGTGAGCAGAGTCTGACCATGGGCCAAGCGCAGGGCTGGGTGTCTGGTGGAGGGGGGAGGGGCGTGTTCAGATACCCAGCAAGCTGTGGAGTACACAGACCACAGGGAACCTGCCACTATCAGAGTGGGAAAACCGGTTTGGGTGCTGGTATTGGCCAGGCCCTGGGACATCCCTAGACCTCACGCCTGCCTGGTCCCGCCTAGGTCTTGGCGGGAACCCTAGCCAAGGGGGGCGAGGTGTTGTCCGCTCTGAAGCCCTTGGCAAGCCCGGTGAAGAGAATCAAGTCGGCTGAACGTTTGCCAACCCAGAGTCCCAAGGTGCCCCGAGACCACTAGGCTCTTTAGGTCCACGCCCCCCACCCCCATCCCAAGCTAACTCATGCAAGCCACGAGGCCGACCGGTGTCCCTAAGAACCCACCCACCTTCGCGCCCCGCAGGCCAGGCCAGCACAGTACAGCACAGCACAGCACAACACAGCCCTGGTCCCTCCGGGAACGCGCGCCTACGCGGCGAAGTCTCCTGCAAATCCGAGCTCGACTCTCGGCGCAGCTAATAAACATCGGCGGATTGGGGTAGGGACCGGGACGCAGGCGGGGACCCGCGCGGCTGGTGGAGGAGTGGGCGGGGCGCGTTCCCGTTGCGGTTTGGAGAGGCACGCCCGCCTGGGCGCTGGCAGACCCAGCCGCCCCAGCCCCGCGTGGGCTCCGGCGGGGGCGCGTCCCCGGGCTCCCCGAGAGCCTGTAATCTGAGCCTACGAAGGGGGCGCAAGAGGACGGAGTGCGCGCCAGGGCACGTTCCGGGGAGCGCCGGGCACAGCCCGCCCGGAGCTAGCGAGCGTCTGCGCGCGGATGCGCCCTCGTGCGGAAGCTGCGTTGGGAAAAGACTCCAGAGGACGGGTGGAGGGCAGCTGGGTTGGGGACGGAGAGCCCATAGGAGTGACCCCGAAAATCCCCTGCAGAACGTGTTTAGCCCGAAATCAGTTGGTGAGCCGATGGGGAACCACCCCCAACGTTGCCCCCTTCCTCCTGACCCCCTGCAGAGATAGGCTGTGGTGGTGGCCAGGACAAATCCCCAGACCTGGATAGTGAAGGTGTGGTCCCGAGGTGTAGGGTGGGGGGGCTGGGGAGAGGGGTACTGGGCCGTTCCCAGACACAGCTCTGCAGAGGGTGGGGAGCCCTTCTCCCTCCCTCCACCGCCCATCAGGATCACCCTGCACCCACCATCCTTCCGAAGCTCCACCAACCAAAGAAAAGGCACACAAAATGCTACCTAACTCTTACCTGCTATCCTCTCTCCATAGCTGCACCATGTTTCCAAGAATGAAAGCTACCAAACCTTAGAAGCTGCCTCTCCTGCTGATTATGCAGTACCTGTCAGAAGGGTGAGGGTGGGGCGGGCAGAGACATGGGACCTGGGCCAGGGACTCCACCGTCAGCCCCCAAAATGCTCAGGACCAGGTACGGACACTAAGATTAATACCTAACTATCCAAGAGCGCACCTCCGGACCAACGCCACCAAAGGGTTCCACCCCACAACAACCCCAAGAAGCAGACAACTTTACCGTGCCCATTTGGCAGGCCAGGAAACTGAGGCCTGGGAGGTGAACCGGCTAAGAGCCCTGTGGAAATTCTCCAATGCTCACAGCAACTATGGAGAATAAAACTTAAAATCAAAACTTAAAACCAATCTCATCAGGGCATGTGGACTCACAGCGACCCCATGGGACTGGGCAGAACTGCCCCTGCGGGTTTCCCAGACTGTAAAGCCTGGGAGTAGAAAGCCTCCTCTTTCTCCCCCAAAGCAGCTGGTGAGTTTGAGCTGCTTACCTTGCGGTCAGCACTCCAATCCCTGACCTACTCCCTGACAAGGGCTCCCACTTGGGGAGCGGAGGAGAGGTGCTGAATCCCCCATTGCAGAGATGAGGAAACAGACTGAGCAGGAACACCCTAAGGTCACAGAGGCTGTAAATGACCCCATAGGGTCAGGCATGAAGGGGGTGGGCTGCATTTTGATTGACCGGATTGGTCTCCAGTACTTAGTCAACAGCTGCAGGAAGTGGGGGTGGGGGGTGAGAGAGAGAGAGACCCACACCACACCGAACAGTGGGGGTTGGGGGAAGGCTCCTCAGGGAGAAGTGGTATTCTGTAGCATCCAGCTTCTAAGCTTGGGACATTTTGTAAATAAAAAGCCTCAGGATTCCACCCCAACTAGAAGCCCCCCCAGACCTTCAGCTTTGGAAAGAGCAAAGGCAGGGTCTTTTGCAGTTTGGGGGGGTGGGGTTGGAAGCAGGAGGGTGGGGAGAGGAAGCCTGGGCCTGGTTGGGGTTGATGGGTGCTGAGAAAGCCCAGGGCGCCAAATCCTTGCCGGATTCATAACTCACCTGGTTCCCAGAACTGACTGACAAGCCACACCCCTCCCGTTCTGGCCTGGTGTGTCCGAGAATTGTGGATTGAGGTCTTAAGAATCCTGTTCAGTCAGTAAAGCCCCTGCCAACTTTCTGACAAGCCCCTGCTTTCTAGTGATAAAGAGAGCCCAAAAGGAGGGTGCTGGGTCCAAGGACCCTGCTGTTAGGGTCCCAGTTAGTTCCCAGGAATAAAAAAACAGTGAGTTCTGGGGCTGGGGAGCAGCTAGCGGGACAAGGTGAGTGCCCAGAGCTAAAGATTCTCCTAGCCTGGGGGTGGCAGGCTAAGGTCCCCAGGAGACCCCATCCCATTAGTCCCCAAATCCATTCCCTGAGAAGGACCTTGGAGACCAGCACCCTTGTCTCCCTGCCATGACCCCATCTCCCATTTGAACCCCAAAAGGCTGAGAGTGGAGAGACCACAAAGAACGGGGTCCACACCAACTTCTTCTCACACCTCCTCGGTCAGGAGGAACACAGAGAAGAGGAGGTGAGGGCTGGCCAAAGTTAGAGGTGGGTGCTGGGCTCCCCCCAAAGGAGGCTGTGCCCCTGCCTCTGCCTCCCTTCTCCCTCTGACTGCTGATCTCCCCCAGGGCAGGGGCCACCTCCACCGAGAGTCTCTAGCAGGACCCCTCTAAGGAGTGGGGAGAGAGGTGCTGCGGGCAGTCCTCGGCTGAGTGGCCATTGGGCCATTGAGCAGAGAAGGTAAAGGCTCAGGAGTGGGCAGGGCCTGTCCCGTAAAGAGATGGAGGGCTTCTCCTTCTAGCCTACCAGAGGTTGTGCATCTGTATCTGTGCTTACAGGCTCTTGGTCCAGGACGGTGGGGGCTGCTTGGCCCAGCCTGGCTCTCGGAGAACTTGGTCTGGGGCCCCAACCACAAGAGCCATGAGCTTGGGGGGTGTCTTCTGATCTTCCCTGGAGCCACTGCACACGGGTGGCTGACGGAGGAGGCTCGGACAGAGGGAGCAGTCTGCTCTCCCCAAGGGCCCACCCGCCACAGCCACCCTGGACAGACACCAGGTGAACCTTGGGAAAAAGACGGTGTTTGTAGGGGGGCTCCGCTCTCAATTGTTTTCAT